CCATCTCATAATTGGGATGACTCTCAGGGACCAGCTAAACCTGAAGCAGTTTATGGGAACAAATACTCTTCAAACATGCACATGAAGCCACTCTTTGTATGTATTATGCATCTCAATTTCTATATATGATTATTGCCATAATGCAAATTCATGTATCACAGTGAATGCTAAGACTTCATTATAAGAAAACTGTGTGACAGAATTGATTCAAATATGGGTTTGGGATGTTTACTTTATATGACAAACTATAACTACTCTGTCATTTATTAAAATAAGATTCAAAAAATGAATCAAAGATATAGTATATATAAAATATAATATGTATTAGTATATGTGTAGATATATGCAATATATTCATAAATGATTTATAAAACAGTATTATATAAAATACATTTACAATCTTTAAAAGGATATTTGAGATCAAAGGAAGAAAGACTACTTGAATCTCATGAGACTGACTCAGAGGTGAAACTGGTCTTATGTTATTATAGTTACTAAATTGTCATAATTTAACAACACAATTGTGTTTTTTTTGTGTTTTAGTGTAGTTTAGTATATCATGAAGTACATCACCCAAGTTAATGCTCGATACTAGCTAACTGCTGATCACCAGTTATACGACATATTAACACAAAGTAAAAACTGGGTTTCTTTGTAGAAGTGTTTAAAAACAGCAATCAGAGAAAAACATTAAGGTAGATAATTATCTGAAAATTATTTTTACAAATTTTCTTAACAAATGATACAAATTATAGAAAAATGAATACCTGATGTTTGTCAATATAATTAACTGGATTTTGAGGGGAGGGGATAATTTTTGGTTGACTGTAGCAAAGAAACATTCTCTGAAAAAAATCCATTGTAAATTGAAGAATAACCTCAGAGCACTAAATCATGAAAATGCAAATGTGGAGTTTTAATGATTTTAATTATTCAAGAAGACAAACATGCTAAATGTATGATTGAACAAAAACTGATTTACTACTGTGCTCTAGCACATTTTAGAATAGAATATGTGGAGCAGTGATGGAACTGGGAAAAAAATCTGTGAATACTTAAGGGATATATGAAATTCTGAAAGAAAAGGAAATGAGAAACAATTGTACTGAATTCATTTAGGTCAATATGTATGGAAATTCAAGAAGAGAAAGCCTAAGTAAGAAAAGAGGAAAGGTTAATATTGATAATACAGAGGGGAAACTGGCTGGGTTTGAATGTCCATGGCTTCAGGATCAGTTTTGATTTGTGTATTAGTTCTCTATTGCTGCATAACAAGTTCCCACACACTTAGCAATTTAAACACAATTATTTTCTCAGTTTCTATGGATCAGGAGTGGACATAGGTCCACTATTCAAGATCTCAAAAGGCTGCAGTCAAGGTATTAGACAGGCTTCCTTCTCATCTACAGTTTGGATCCTCTTCCAGGTTCACATATTTGTTGGCAGCATCCACTTTCTTGCAGCTGCAGAATATTATTTCCTCTCCACCCACCCTACTATTCCTTGCTGTAAGCTATGAGCAACTGTCAGTTCCTAGAGGCCACCTGCAGTTACCATGTGGCCCTCTGACAGACCTTCTCACAACATTGCCCCTTATTTTTTGAAGGCCAGCAAAATATCTAGCTCCATTCTTATAGGATGGAATCTTAAAGAATGGAACCTAGTCAAGAGAGTAGCTATTTCATTTATACTCTTTCTTCTGCTGCTAAAAGAAAGACACAGGTTCTTCTCACACTCAAGGAATGGAGGAAGTTATACAAGGGATATAACTCCTGGGAGGGTCATTTATTAAGGTGTACCTAGATAATAGCAACTTACCTTTTAAAGGAAATTGAAATGGAATAATTGGGTATTTTATTGGAAGCCATGGTGAAGAGGGGAAAAATGATGATCCTTGAAGATTATGGGATTATAGGAAGTCTGGGACAGACAGATTATTGACTAACATCACATTATCAATTATTCAACCAATTGGTTGAACCAAATGTGCCAGGCACTGTGGTAGTTAATGATAAAAAAATGGGTTCTGTCCATGCCCCCATGGAGCTATAATTTGGTGGGGAAAACAGATATTGAACAAGTAAACATGTATAGAATTACAAATTGTGATGAGTTCTATAAAATAAAAGCCCAGAAGGTACTGAGAATAAACAACAATCTTGAATAACAATTACATAGATTAGTGCAATTACCTGCAGTGTATTGTCTATACCATCATTATCCTCAATTATAACTTCTAAGAGCAGCCTGGGAAGCTGAGGCAGGAGAATGATGGAGGAGTTCAAAGCCAGCCTCAGCAACTTAGAGAGGCCCTAAGAAACTCAGCGAGATCATGCCTCTAAATAAAATATACAAAAGGGGGTTGGGGGTATGGCTAAGTGGTTAGGGTCCCCTGGGATAATTCCCTGGTACCAAAAAGGAAGGAAGGAAGGAAGGAAGGAAGGAAGGAAGAGAGGGAGGGAGGGAGGGAAAAGCAATGATAATAAAAGAGGTGGATAAGAGACTCAAAAGGGATGACGTCAGCCATAGCTGTCTTTCTTGGCTATCTCAGTCAAAAAGTATTGGTAATAATTTCCAAGAAGTAGAGGAAGCATTAGCAGTGAAAAACAAGGAAAGAACAAAAGTTGAAGTGATGCAGATATTAATGAGGAGAAGATAGTGTGCACATGACAAGAAAGAATGTGGCCAGAGCTCCTTAGAAAATATCTGAAGAAAAATTTCATCTCCCTCTCTGTTAATAACTTGAAAAACTTTCTTCTACTCAAGAAATCTCTCACTGTATTGTGGTTTAAAGATTATATGGAAAGCAGTCTCAGCATTCTTAAACCATATTATTAAAACTGGTGTCTGAGTGTACTATAGTTGTTAGATACAAAAACCTATATCAAGATTTTGCCACTCCTGACCTCACCAGCAGCACTTGGTACTCACTGATTCTTGAACTCTTCCTTCATCTTCCAGGATACTTCTTTCCTGATGATCTGCTTGCCTCTCTGACTATAATTTCCCAAACATTTTCAGAAACACTTCAACCCTGTTCACAGCTTAAATGTTGTTATTTTCCAGGGTTCCATCTTGTTGGTAAATTTCAAATCTAATTTCACCTCATAAAAGTCTCTCTAGATATAGACCAGTGATTCTACTAGCCTAAGGGATAGCTGTTCATTTATATTTCTAGCAGGGCTCTTAAAGGCAGAAGCCATTATCCCTTCAACACCCCCCCCTTCATCCTCTGCCATACACTGTTATCTCAGTGAATGGCATAATTTATCTACTCATTTAAGCCTGAACTCTGTGAACACAAGGAAGCCCTTTTTTCCTTATCGGTCTCCCCAAATCTAACCATACACAAAGTCACATGGGATTTTTGTCCTAAATCTCAAGTGCCCAACATATCACAGTTTGATTGGGATGATCTAGGTTTTAAAATTGAAAGTCCTACCTCCCAGGAATCTCCTCAGTCCTGGAAAAATCCATTTCCTCTGCCACTGACATAATTCAGGTCTTCATTATTCCCCTGATAAATTATTGCTAACTACTCTGACACCTGTCTCTTCTATTTCAGGCTTAAATATCACACTGTTGCCAACATGACCATCCTTAAAACAAATCTGATCTTATCATGACAGCATAAAAGACCTTACTTGATCCTTACTGCTTATAGGTCAAAGTAAAAACTCCTGAAGAAAGCATAAAAGGCTGTTCATATTCTAGCCCCTCTTATCTTTACAGCTCTCCAGATTTATCTCTTGTTACTCTTGGGCTTATGCACTATTGATTTGGCCATACCTAACCTACTGTTTTCCAAGTATGTGGTTACTGAGCATTTATGATTTATTTTCTAAAAAAAACTGAGTCGTCCTAAAATACCTACTTGAATATCATATTCTACATGAAGCCTTTCCCCAAATCTCTAATCAGAGGTAGTGCTCTCTCTTCTGCCTTCCCATCAGTACTGTGTTGTTGCCTTTATTCTTTTACTAAGGTAACATAATTATTTATCTTTTTTCTATTGATCTATGCCTCTCACTTGACTTTGAATTACTCTAGATTAGGGAAAATCTTTTATTTTTATTCTTGCATCCTGAATGTCATGCACAGTGCCTTACCACAAAGTGATGGTGTGTGTATGGATGGATGTGTGTGTGTGTGTTTGTGCGCGTGCGTGCGCATGCTTATATATAATATTTGAGTTATTCTCGTACAGAGGAAGGTTACCAGAAAGTTTCCTGGTAAAAATAGAGAAGTCTCAAAGTAAGAGCCTACAGTATTCATACTTTCTCAGTTCTGTCTTAAAATGATAATTTAGATGCTCAAGGGCACTTTCTTAGGGTCTCTGTAATGAAAAAGTACATTCATGATTAGAGATTTTTAATTATTAGAAAATAAGATGTTATGCTGAGGAAAATGAAGTTTGAGTATGAACCACTATCATAAAATTATTCTATAGCAGTGATAAAATGTTGGTTGTATGATAGAAATAATAGGTGTTGTAAAAACAACCATATAATTAGAAATTTGTGTACAAAACTGTACAAAAAGGAAAAATGTGATAATTCATAAAACAAAAATATTTAGTTTTGACATAATACTATGCTCCTATTCATCCTTGTGCAGCATTTGACTATGAACTTTGGTAACATAATATTCAGAAAAAAGAAATAGTTGTTTTTCTTATGTACATTTTCTCCTGTAATATTAATTTCATACTTTAGTACTGAGAATTTGGATTACACGATATCTAAATCAGTCTGGAAAAACTGTGTTACAAGAGTAGTGTTTAACGGTTATTTAAAAGTAGCCAAGAATTCACTTAGTAAAGGAAAATATTTTATGTGTTATTTTAAATCACTACAAATTTCTAAAAATGATTAAACAGATTTCTCAATTAACTCAGATAATATAAGCCTAATTTCCCAAAACATAATTATATCTAAACAAGAACAGGAATTTTATTAAATGTCTTTTAATTACATTTGATATTTTAAATTTTCTTGCAGGATTTTTCTACACCAGGAGTTCCAAAGTCAAGCTACATTCAAAAAGAGAGACAACACATTGGTTATTCAAGTTCTGAAGAGCCAGGAATTCCTTATAGAATAGGACGTGTGCAGATGAAATCCAACTATTAAGTTCCCTGTAGAGAAAAATATATATGTACAATAAGATACATGATCATCTGATCATTTTTAAAGTATTCTTGTAACACCTTAAGAAAATATTATGATTTATCTGTGCTCTAAATACTTTACTTTTCTTTCTGCATCAGTGTTTCCCTTTATATCTTAAACATTTCCTACCTGTCCTCTTCACAGAGGAAAATTTTCATCTCCAATATCCAACTTCAATAACTTACCTGTTATAGCAGATCCATGTTACCTCCAAAATTTGGTATAATACTTGTTTACTGATTCATGATATGTAACTTTGTAAAGTGTTCAGTGAGATGCATAATATATTGATTGCAAATTACAAAAAATACTGAGTACTTTTGTAAATTACAGTTATGGAATAAATCTCAAGAACTGCATCAAAGCATCAGTATACAACTAATGAATTATATTTGAAATATGCAATTTGATTATAAATTAATTCCTGAAAAATAAAATAAGAATGGATAAATGATTTCTATAAACTGAGTGTTTCAAAGAATGATCCCAAGATCTGGGTTCCTCCCTCCAATATTTCCTTTTTTCTTTTATTATTGTTGTCCCCTTTTATCCTTCCTTTCATTAGTTAGCACTTATCATGCCAACTAAGTACCAAGGACTGGTAAGTTACTAAGGTACAAAGATGAATCTGAGATAGTCCCTAGAGATTAGATTATAGAAGAGACAAAGACAAATATCAATTATTGGTCACACAGTGTGACCAATGCAATGATAAAGATGTATATAAGAACCTAGGAAATCAAAGACTAACTAACTAATAATAGGAAGAAGTATAAAGATAAAGGTGGAGGAAGAAGACCATTTTACTTAAGTGATGCTTAAGCTGTTGCAAGAAAATGAGTAGGAGTTGGCTTTATGAGAGTTTTGAGACAAAGAGAGTGAGTACCCAGAGAGAATAGAGGTGAAAAACAAAATGGAGTATGAAGGCAATTATAAAAACTGTTGCAGCATAAAAGTGGAAAAGGGAATAAGATAAGCGGCGAGGCTGAGGAAGTGGCAAAGACTAGTTCTGGAGGGTCTTATATGCCATATTAAGGAAATTAGACTAAATATTAGTAGTTATAGGGTTCTGTAATAATCTGTTTTGTGACACTAGATTTATAAAGAAAAGAGGTTTATTTGGCTCACAGTTGTGGAGGCTTTGGAGTATGGCCCCCTAATCTACTAAGCTCTGATAAGGATCTTAAAACATCACAACCTGTTTAATGCCATTGCTATGAAAGCTTGTGCAAGAATGAGAAATCACACAGTGATACAAGAATCCAGAGGCTGGGGAAGGGCCAGGCTTGTTATTCTTATAACAAATCATTCTTGAAGGACTAATCTAGTCCATGAGAGTGGCACTAATCCCTTCTAAATACAATCTTATATGACCTACCACCTTCCACTGGACCCTACCTCTTAAAGATTCTACCACCTTTATACTACCACACTGAAGGTCAAACCTCCAGCATTGTTAAAAATATTTTTTAGTTGTCAATAGATCTTTAGTTTTTTAAAATTTATTTTTATGTGGTGCTGAGAATCAAACCCAGAGCCTCACACATGCTAGGCAAGCACTCTACCACTGAGCCATAACCCCAGCACAAACCTCTAGCATTTTAATCTATGGAGGATATGCTCAGACCATATTCAGATCATAGAAAGCTCCATTGAAAAGTTTTATACAATCATGGTCAGATATTATATTTTAGATGAACACTTTGATGACTGTGCCAGTTGAAGGGAGACAATACGGGAGTCAGGAAACCAGTTAGAAGTCAGAGATAATGGACTCAATAACTGAACCAATGGATAAGAACTGAGAGAAAAGGCCAATCAAAGTGATTTGGGGGAAGTATATTCAAAGAACATAGAGGCTCTTAAATGTCATAAACAGGAGGAAGAAATTATAGTTGAAAGTATATTGTCACTATTTGTGGGCATAGGTCTTAACAGGTCAATAGGTCAATGATAAGGCTGGAAAAGAATAGGCTAATGAAAGAACTGTAAGGATAGGAGCAGACGAATAACACTGTAGATCCATGACTTTCAGGTCAAGTGGGCAATTAACACTCTCCAAAATCTGACAATGAAATAGATCATTCTCCAATTCCACAAAGTACTTATTTGACACCTTTCATTGAAGTTTGACCCATTCCAACTCACCTCCATTCTCCACAGATGACCTCACCTTGTAATTTAAATAACAAACAAAACCCTTCAAATGCAAACACACAAATCCACAAGTAGTCCCACATTCATCACTTGTTTCAATATATCTCACACCCCATCTAAGAGTAATACTTTTGCTTTTTGTATAAATTTCATTCTCCCCAGCATTTGCATTGGCCTTACTCTTACATCATTTGACCCTGTTTTTAAAATTATCAACTCTAAACTAAGAACAGAGTAGGGTCGAAGAGCATGAGAAGAAGATTAACATTAAACAGGGATGAGAGGTGGGAGGGAAAGGGAGAGAGAAGGGAAATTGCATGGAAATGGAAGGAGACCCTCAGGGTTATACAAAAGTACATACAAGAGGTAGTGAGGGGAAAGGGAAAAATAATACAAGGGGGAGAAATGAATGATAGTAGAGGGGGTAGAGAGAGAAGAGGGGAGGGGAGGGGAGGGGAGGGGTGATAGTAGAGGATAGGAAAGGCAGCAGAACACAACAGACACTAGTATGGCAATATGTAAATCAATGGATGTGTAACTGATGTGATTCTGCAATCTGTATATGGGGTAAAAATGGGAGTTCATAACCCACTTGAATCAAAGTGTGAAATATGATATATCAAGAACTATGTAATGTTTTGAACAACCAACAATAAAAAATTTTTTAAAAAGTACAGAAAAAAATAAAAAATAAATAAAATTATCAACTCTAATAATTGCAAATTCTTTATATCCTGTACTAATTTGTCAACCACTGATCCTTTTCTTCAACCATCTCTCCTTAATCCCCTGGGTGGAGGGGGCAGGAAGTAGAAGAGACAAAGTAGTTATCAAGTCTCAGTTCCCATACAACATAATTTGTCACCAGTACCTTTCCCTTCTTACTTCCTAAATATATTTAAAATATGTCCAGTTTCACATCTTTATCTCTATCCACTCTGCCACTACCCTCATAAAAGACCTCACCATCATTCCCCTGGACAATTTTAACAGGCTTCTAGTTGATCTTCCCAAATCCACACTTCCCTCTATCCAATCCTATTGCCACAGTGCAGCAAGCATAATATTTTAAAATGCAAACCTAATTTTGTTAAAAAAAAAAAAACTCCTCCTTAGAACATTTTATATCTTCCATTTACCCTAGAAGAAAACTTCAAATCCTTATACTAGGTTACAAAGTTCTCAAAGACTCTACAGTATGGGGTTTCTGTCTCTTTCTGCCTTTTCCCATCTATATTTATATCTATATCTATGATGTGTCTGTTTCTATGTGTTAGTGTATAATTTCCTATAATACAACTGCAAAATGCTTCACATGCATTATCTTATGACATGTTTATACCTTCCCTGTGAGTTGGGTACTATTATTTTCCCTAATAACTAATGAGGAAATTGAGGCTTTGAGTGATTTATTAACTCATTCAAAGCCACAAAATTAGTATCAGAGTCAGAATTCAAGCACAATTATCCTGACTACAAAGTTTATAGCTACGGCAGTATGTATTTTCCAGTTTATTAACATACCACTCTCAATCTTGCCAAGTGTTCTAGTCATACTGGATCTGGAATTTTTCTTTTAGGGCTTTCATACATGTAGTATCCTCTATCTGGATAACCCAATGAGAAACACATTCCTGACATTCAGATGCTGCTTCTATGGAAGATGTGACCACCTAAGAGAAAATGTCTAAATTGATCTGGCCCTGAAAGAGTTCATGGCTGGCTTAATGTTTTTCTATGAAAGTTACAGAGTCTGGAACATGAATAGATTTCAGGTTGTTAAAAGCTTCCTTTACTCATACTGAAAGACTTATAGGGCCAGACTTTGGGGGTAAGACTTCTGTAGGATTTTAATACTATACAAAAGCAGACTCTAGCTGGATCCTGTATGTCTAATCAGAAATATACCTTGGGTGTTCAGAGTATCAGAGTATTTCTCTCTCTCTCTCTCTCCTTTTTTTTTGGGGGGGGGGTGCTGGGGATTGAACACAGGGCCTTGTGCATGTGATGCAAGCACTCTTCCAACTGAGCTATATCCCAGCCCCAGAGTATTGGTCTTTTAATGCTGATGCTGACATAACAACAGAGTCTGGGTTCTCTCTGTGTTCATTAAAGAGCTCTCAAATTGTCAAAGGATTCTACTGTTAAGTTCTGACATCATAATAAGAAAAGACCCAGGATAGTCAAAAGCATAGTCTATATGTAAGGGATAATCTAGCATAGTGGTTAGCAGTGTAAAGGACTCTGTAGATGGCCTCCTGAATTAAAATCCCAGCTTCTCCACTTACTACCTGTGTGACATTAGGCAACTGATGAATCCTTTATGCCTCAGTTTCATCCTCTCCACAGTGAGGAAAATACTATGTACTTCATAGGTTAGTTGTGAGGATTAAATTGACCAAGACAAATAGCACTCAGAACAAAGTAACCAAAAAATCATAGCTATTGGCTGCTACAAATTAATATGGGAATAAGGCTTATATGAACAAAGGCTTCTTCTGCTGGCACTCCAAGAAAGAAATTCCATGTTTGATCTTATAGTACATGCTTGATTATAGCTGCCTTAGCTGACTTTTCCAAACTTTTCTTCTACCTCTCTTTCTCTTTTTAAAATTCTGACTATTCTGATATATGATACCTGGACTGCCTGTTTAATTAATTATGTGATCAGGCCTGCTTGTTGACTCCTACACCTATCTCATCATGACAAAGGCAATTTGGTTTACAACTCCTTCCTGTTAGGCACAAGGATGAGTTTGGTTTGACGTTCTGACATTACCAAACATGATCACAAGTCTTTGTTCCTCATGACAAAAGGAGAGAGACAAAATTAGCAAAGATAACAGTATGTTTATGGACTAAGTACCCCCATAGTTTCTCAGCCAAGAAAGAATTTTTACTACACTCTTAAAAGAATGAACACTTCGGAATTTCAGGAAGATGGTGTCGAGGGGAGTGCATTGCCCCCGTGTGCTGCTTCACTGTGTGGGAGTATGACAAGTCAGGACAGCTAAAGGATATCTTGTTAGGAATTTCCAGCAATAGTGGGGTGCTCCAGAACCTGGAGGAAGGATTTCCATCGCAGGAGGATCGGCTAAGGGGACTCAAACGCGAGAGGTTTGTCACACGGAGGGTAACACTGCTTATTCAGCAAATCGCCCCGCGGCTAGAGTCTGCAGCGCGCACTGGGAAACGAGGAGATAGCGACGCAGGGATACAGCGCTGCAGTTTCTGCCAGCCGTGCAAGCACCGTACTCAGGGCGG